GCCTGAATTTTGCCTGAAACTCTCAGACTGAAGAAGTCTCTTGGAGGAGAGACGAAACGTTTCATTAAAGAAGAACCCGTCCAGAGGACCTATATTGCTGCTTAAGTTTTAGCTAGGCTTTTGCTACAGTTAGCAAGCTAATTATTACTTTTTTACTAGCCTTTTGTAAAATTTAGCTAAATGTTTTGTGTTTTTAGTTATCATTTTGCTGCTTGTTTTACTACTTCAAGCTTGTGATTTTCAATGTAGCCTTTTGCTACGGCTAGCCTATTTCATGCTACTTTTTACTAGCCTGTTGCTGATTTTAGCTAAAGTTTTTGTGCCTAGTGACTTTTATTAATCATTTACTTCAACATAGCTGTTTGCTGCTTTTGTTTGTGAATTAAATGCATTTTAATTTAGTTTTTATGTTGAAATAAGCCACAGCTTTGTTTGTTTCTTTTTTTATTATTATTATTATTACCGTCCGCAGCATGTTCCGGATGGGCTGCAGCTTTCCTTCAGCTTTGCTGTTTTTCTTTTTCTCTCTGGGCCGATGAACCTGACGCAGGTCTGACTTACTGGATCGTATTCTGAGATGGGAAAGTATTAGACAACGACAACAAAAAGAAGATGAAAACGACAATAAAAAAWATCTTTCTTGGTAAAACCATGTTTGAGTCTTGAATCCTCTGAATATAAAAGCCCCTCTCACCGTTCCACTTTGGGTTTTCTGTGCACTTTCTCAGATTTTCCATTCTTCTCTCTTTCTTTTTCTCTGGGCTCCACAGGCCTCCTGCTGTCCTGGGCCACCCGAGCACACAGCTCTGGATAATCCAGACAAACGGCACGCAGCAGCCAGCGAAGGCCTCGCAGGATCTTTCTGTCCGACCACCGTCGCAGGTCCATTAAGGCTGAACAAGGCTCCTGACCAAACAAATAAAAGTCAGCTTGATGGAGCTAAATTTGTTTATAAATAAATAAAACTTTTTGAAACTGAAAAACTGTTTTTGAAATCTGAAAAAAATAATTTAAACTGAAAAATAATTTAAAAAACAAAAAATAAAAATGATTTGAAACTGAAAAAAAAAAATATATAGAGCATATTTTATTGATAATATGTTACAACAACCAAAGAACCTGCCATATTTTTTAAGTGTGTGACACAATGGCCTGCCAAATATGTTAATTTTATGATAAAATGGGTTACCATACACGGTTAATTATATGAAATAACAGCATACCATACTGTTTACCTATATGATATATAGAAGTAGTTTTGAACCTTTTTATTTTCCAGTTTCAAATCTGTTTTTCTTTTCTTTTAGTTCCACAGTTTTTATTTCACTTTCAAAAAGTTTTTTTTATGAACTAATTTAGCTCCATAGCCTCAGGTCAGTATATTTTATTTTTCCAAACCTGATACTTACAATATGGCACAGACATCGGCTCTGGTTGACCAGCTTCTCTAAAGACAGAATCTCAATCAGTTCACTTCCAACCAAAGCATTCATTTTATCTTGTTTGTTTGCCAACCTGAAACCAAAAAAACCACAAATCTAATGGGTCCATTTTTTAATCACTGACCACCACCGTGAACAGTAATGATCACATGAGATATCCAGGGTGATGCAGAGTGTAATTACACTAGTACAGGTTTTCCTGCCACCCTGGGTTCCTTCAGCAGGTCTACCAGGACCTTCCTGGCCTCCTTCATCCTCTGCCGGTCACTGGAGTCCACCACAAAGATCAGACCGTGAGCTTCTCCGTAGAGCTCCCTCCAGGCTCCACGCCACTCCACGGACCCGCCGACATCCAGCAGGGTAACCAAGTAGTTCTCCACTCTCAGCTCATTCCTGACACAGCCGGGGGTCGGCCCCGGGTCCACAGCARAGGGAACTGAAGCACAACGACACAGGCAGAGGTTTTTACTTCTGTCTGCTTTTTGTTTGGCCACTTATCATTTTTAGCTTCTGCTACTTTTAGTACAGCATATAGCATTTAGAAAGTTTACTTTCAGCAATCCTATAGTTACTTTTAGTTTTTAATCAGTGATTTGCTGATTATAGTTGTTTTACTTTAACTACTGAACTTTAGCTTCTTTGCGGAGTTTCAGCAGTCATTCGGCTGTCATTCAGCAGACATTTAGCTGTTTTTCAGCTGTCGTTCAGCAGATGTTGAGTAAACATTCAGCAGTCTTTTAGCTGTCGTTCATCTATCATTCAGCAGACATTCAGCAAAACGTCAGCAATCATTCAGTTGTCCTTCATCACACTATCAACAGTCATTCAGCCGTCTTTTAGCAGACCTTCAGCAGACGTTCAGCAGACACTCAGCAGACCTTAGCTGTTGTTCAGTTGTCATTCAGCAGATCTTTAGCAGACAATCAGCACACATTTAACAATCATTCAGCAGACATTCAGCAGTTGTGAAGCAGTCATTTAAGCTGTCGTTCAGTTGTCATTCAGCAGACATTTAGCAGATATTCAGCAGTCAGTAAATGTATTTTACCTCTTAACATCCCTCTGATGGATGACGTTTTTCCTGCTTTGTCAAGACCAACAACCAGAACGGTCACTTTCCTGCGAGAACAAACCACTGTCTTTAAGCTGAAGGAACAATGTAAAGTTTTAAATAAGAGTTATGTTTGTTTGCAGTAATCAGTGGAAAAGTGTTGGACGTAAAAATCAAAGTGTGCAAAGGTCAACAAACTGAACGTCTTAACTTCTGTTAATTTGTTTGGTTTATTATTGAGCTTTTTTTTTTTGTCGTTCATGATGTTGATAAAGACTGATGGGGCTTTGAATCCCTGCCGGCTCTGTTCTGTACCTGACCGGCTCCTGGATTTTGGAGACCCAGCTGCAGCAGTTGCTCATCAGGTTGAACATGTTTCCTCGAGGAGAAGAAGGTGAGCAGAGAAGCCACCATCTTCTCTGGAACTGGTACCTGCAGCCCGACAGTGAAAACCAGACACAAACGCACACACAGACGGTGAGACGAGGGTCACTTAGGGTCCGGGTTGTACTTCTAAGGGCTACCAGATTTAACAAGTGTTAATTTAGGAGAGGATAAGCTGAGCTGCTCTCATGTGTTACTGAGTGAAATAAAACTCCTGAAATCATGTTGTGGTGTTTCGGTGGGCCTCCTTTAGAAAAGTACCTGGAGGTTCCTCTGGTCTTCTGTGGTTTCAGGAAACTATGAGTCTGCACTCCAGAAAAACATCCTCAGCTTTAAGTGTCTTTTGTCCCACGCATCTGTTCTGTGCAGTAATCTGCTGAAAGCCAGTTTGGAACGGCCCACTTTTTAAAATGTCGTTAACAAGTTGACCCATTTTGGTTCGGGATGCTTCAGAAAGTAAACAAGGAGGAAGTATTCCTGTTTTCCCACCAAAGGGGGATTTTATTTTATTTTTTACAACACATCACCAATGTTTAGTAGGACATTAGTAACTAAACAATCTTAGGTTTTGCCATTTTTTAACAGATTAATTTCACTTAACAGAACATTTTTTTATCAGTTTGTGATTTAAAATTTTAAAAGAAACTTTAAAACTGAGCAAAAAAGGGGGGTAAAACGTGTTTTTGCTGTGTAGTTATCAGATAAATACAAGAGAACAAACACTTAACTAAAGGTCTTCTTCTTATATTACCACATTCTTCTCAATAAATTAATTTTACTAAACATTATAAGTCGTTTTAAAGAAGAACACTCACAGAAGTAAGTCTACGTCCATGCATTTGTTTGGGTCTTCCTCACTTCAGGCATCCCGTCTCCACCTGCTGCACAACTAATCAGGCTCACGCTAAGCCCCTGGTCACCTCATGTGGGAGGTGCATCCTGGGAGTTGATGTGGCGGCGTGTCGACCAATCCAAGGCTCCTCCAGCCCCACTGGACGGCGGCTACCTGACTAATTATAGTGTCCATAATTCCACTCTGCAGAGCTGAATACGTGGCGTGATGTGGGGTGAGCGCCTTTTCCTGGTGAAGTCAGAAAGCAGCAACATGAACTCCAACATTATCTTGTTTACATCAAGAGTTTACCAGATTAAGATAATAGGATTCTGAGTTTCTAAGGTCCAAATTAGACACAATTGCTTGACTAAGATGATTAAATCTGTGTTGCTAATTGTTGCTGTTACAGACACAAAAAAAGGTTCATTTGAAGGAATTCATTGGATTGACCCACAGAAAGAAGTGATGCCTCCAGAAATTTTGGAAGCCTCTGAAAATCTATTAGGTGGCACACCGAAACCACTAGTATTTTTAATTTTAAATAAATACACATTTATATTTTTAACCCTTAACTGGCACRTGTCAAAGTCAAGGCCTGTGGGCCAAATGTGGCCCGCCACAGCATTTTATGTGGCCTGCAAGAACTTCAAAGATGTAAACTTAGGTTTGTGTTTGGTTGATTTCTTTGTTGGAACTATGCTTCTTGGCAATAAATTTTACACTGTTGGAAAGCCTGTTAAATTCCCTTTTAGATGTCACATTTGTAAGGAACATTTGTGGAATGAAAAGCTGAGTATGTAGGTTGCACGCATGAAAAAAATAGCCAAATCTTTTCTGCCAAACAGCTAATTTTGGCTGTAATTGACACTTGTTTTGAGCTTTTGGTACCTCCAGGTGCTGCCAATCAGCTTCCTGATATAAGATTTATTGCCAAGAATCATTTTTACAACAAATAAATAATCTACCAAACACTGATGTCCTTACTTTTTGTGATAAATACATTAATGTCTTAAAATTGGTGTACGCTGCTTTGACTATAAACTTCACCTCCCATGACGCATGTTGTTTATTTTACCTGTGAAATGAAAGCAAAAGTATTGAATTTCGATGAGTAAAATTTCCATTTCACTGCATTTTTTAGCTAGTTGTACTGGGAAGTGGGAATTTCCCACTTACAAGTCATTAATTTAAACTGGAAGGCCCCTTCAGTGGGAGAGTTTAGAATTCAAGACAGCAGCTCAACCACAACTCAACAGAGTAAATAGTATTTCTGTAGTATTTATTTCATATGTAGTCAGTTGTACACGTGTTTATAAGAGGACTAGTTAAAACTCTKTCTATRWAGGAAATACCATGTAGAGCTCAGTTATTGTATGCTTGTCCTAAACGGTAGAGGAAATTAAAAGTTCACTCCACACATGATTGATTCTGCAGAACTTGAAGAGTTAAATCTTGAACTTGAGAGTTAAAGGCCCAGTTTCCCGTACAGGGATTRAGCCTAGTTCTAGATTAAATCACATTTTAAACCATTATTTATTAAAACAACTTGAAGAGTTAAATCTTGAACTTGAGAGTTAAAGGCCCAGTTTCCCGTACAGAGATTAAGCCTAGTTCTAGATTAAATCACATTTTAAACCATTATTTATTAAAACAACTTTCTTAGTTATGGATTATAGTAGTCACAAACTTGTCCTCTTGAATTAAATAATCTTCTTTCTTAGAGGAAGACTAGAGCTAATCTAGGTCTAAATGAAGACTTAAATTAAAGCTGGCCAGAGGCAGGTTTAATCTCAGATTAAAGGCTGTATGCTTCACTGTGGATGGGCAAAATGGATTATCTTGACTACACTACATCRACGATGCTGGAAGACCACCACAAAGACCAGAAAGGAGAKTTCTCTGAGACAGAAGCAACTTGCTGACTGAATTTGATGAGACAGATTTCTGTGACCATTTTTGTACAAAAACACTGCAGCTGAAATAATTTTTTTTGTTTCAGCCATTGATCAAACTGGACCTGCTTATAGAAACAGTTTTTCTGTGCAGCACTTTTTATGAAGATAAAGAAGCTGGAAACAGTCGAGTGATCCACAAGTTATCAGTTTGATTTTGTTTGACTACATTTATCATTGTGCAAATAGTTAAGATGAGAAAATCTGGTTTATTCTTGAATAAATTTTGGTTGAATMCTGATTGTAATGGAATATTTTTATTTCATTATGACACAAGGTCAACAGAGGCATGGTTAGAAAAAAACAGAAGTTTTGCTGCTGCAGTTGTTGCTGCTTCATGTCTCCATCTCTTTGACTGACAACTCGAAGGATTTTCATCTTCAGTTCATGTTCTTCTTTTAGATTGCAATTTGCAATTTTTTGCTCATGAAACTCTATATCAAGTTTTTCATGAGTAGTCAGCCTTTTCCCTCTTGCTGTGCTGCCTGGGATGAAGATRCTGGCTGCTGCCWCTGGTGCAGAAGTCAAATTTTTCTGACTCTGTTCTGGCTCCTCCGACATCTGAKTCAAGCTTTGGTCATCTTTTTCTACAGAGAATTACAAWACAAGACATAAAATTAATAGTATTTTTCATTTTTATACATAGTGTCATAAATGGTACTAGCTTACCTAAGCAGAACAATAAAYACACACAGACAAACACATTGTAACAAAGTGTGTAGAAGAGTTTCCCCACCTGAACTGTCCAGATGATCATCTGACATGCCTTCAAATGGTTGTTGGTTTTCAATCATCCAGTCAACATATCCCCCAGGTTATCGCTCTGCGGTCTAACTGGGGATCCCCCGCCTGTAATGAAATGCTCCCTACGAGCAATGGCTGCTGTTTTCTTCAGCTGTATTTTGATGTTGCAATA